GCCCAGCGGGTCGAGGCTGCTGTGGCCGGGAGCGGCCACTGCACTCCAGTCTGGGCGACCAAGTGAGACTCCAACTCAAAAAAAGCAAACAAAAAAAAACAAAAATCAAAGGTTATGGGGTGGCCTTTCAGAAGTGGTGGTGTGCAAGGTTGGGCATGGTGGCTCACTCCAGTAATCCTAGCACTTTGGGAGGCTGAGACAGAAGGATCACTTGAGCCTGGGAGTTTGAAACCAGCCTGGGCAACATAGCGAGATCTCGTCTTTACAAAGAACTTTTTAAAATTAGCAAAGTGTGTTGGTATGTGCCTATAGTCTTAGCTACTCAGAAGGCTGAGGCAGAAGAATTTCCTGAGCCCAGCAGATTGAGGCTGTGGTGAGCTGTGATCGTGCCGCTGCACTCCAGCCTGGGTGACAGAGTGATACCCTGACTTAAAAAAAAAAAAAATAGGAGGTGTGTACTTGAATGAAGTGTTCTAGTGCCTTGAGCTGTTTGCTGGTGGCTCCTTATGACTGACCGTAAACACAGGACATGGGGCTGGAGGAGTGGGTGGGTGCCAAGTCTTGCGGGGCCTTGAGTGCCAAGCTGAGAGATTCTGTCCTGAGGACACTGAGGTGCCCTGGAACTCTGTGGGCAGGAGAGTGACAGGGCAGGCTCTGGTTGAGAAATAGACATAATCTAAGGTTATAACAGAGGTAACTCAGAGAAGACACTGTATTCAGCACAGTGTATATAAGGGGGTAGAGGTGAGGCGGTATCGGGGGATTCTTACTAGAGGGAAGTACCATCTGCTTTGAGTTTTAAAGGACAGTGGAGATCTGGCTAGGCTTGAAAGGGGTGACAGGAGAGCATCTTAGGCAGCATGTGCAAAGGCCCCGAGGTAGGAAATAGCCAGTTTGCATTGTTGGAACCAAATGTGTAATTTTTTTTTTTTTTTTGAGTTGGAGTCTCACTCTTGTCACTCAGGCTGGAGTGCAGTGGCACACTCATGGCCACCGCAGCCTCAACCTGCTGGGCTTAGGTGAGCGTTCTGCTTCAGCCTTCCAAGTAGCCAGAACTACAGGTGCACACCACCACACCCAGATAACGTTTTTTTATTAGTGAGCCTGGTCTCACTATTTTGACCAAGCTGGTCTCTAACTCCTGGACTCAAGTGACACTCTCACCTCAGCCTCCCAAAGTGTTAGGATTACAGGCATGAGCCACCTCACACGGCTATTTTTTTTTTTACATATGTGTGCTTTGATGAGTGATGGGAGATGGGGTTGCAGAGGTGGACTGGGCCTTGAATGCCAGGCTAAGGGCTTGGGACTTTGCCCGTTCTGGGAATTGTGGGAGCTTGGGGGGCTGTAAGCAGGAGGGGTGCAGTGTAAGACCGGGGCATCAGAAAACTTGTAGAAAGCTGGGCATGGTGGTTCACGCCTATCATCCCGGCACTTTTGGAACCCAAGGCAAGAGGATTGCCTGAGCTGAGGGTTTTGAGACCAGCCTGGGCAACTCGGCAAGACCTCGTCTCTACAATACATTAAATTTTTAAAAAATCAATCAGGCATGGTGGTGCGTACCTGTAGTCTCAGCTATGTGGAAGGCTGAGACAGAAGGATCACCTGAGCCCAGCAGGTTGAGGCTGTGGTGCCCGTGAGCAGTGTGCCACTGCACTCCAGCCTGGGTGATGGAGTGAGACTCCAATTAAGAAAAAAAAAACAAGCCGGGCTTGGTGGCTCAGCCTGTAATCCCGTGCCTTTGGGAAGTTGAGGTGAGTGGATTGCCTGAGCCCGCGGGTTTGAGACCCGCCTGGG